TATATTTAGAATAAAGTGGGTAATAAACTTTTTTATAAAGACTTACTTTTTTATGATTATCTTCCTTTTTATAAAGCTTTATTTTTAAAGCTAATTAAGATACTGGTTCTTGCAGTGATTCTAGCTTACTAATTATATAATTATATAGATTTACTTAACTTACAGATTAATCACAGGCATGTTATCCTAAGTCTTGTTTTCTAAAAGTAATCTTATCTTATTATATTAAGATTAAATTCTAGATTAATCTATTCAGGCTAGTGTGGTTATATAACCAGACTAGCCTTATTAAGATTAAGTCTTTAATTAAAAAGATTTACTTATTATCATATAGCTCAAATTCTTGACCAACTATTATCTGCAGGTAAATTATAATAAACTCTTTTAAAAGAAAAAGTCAAGATAAGATCATAAGGCTATCATTACCTACAGATACTTCTACAGACCCCTAGAGTCCCCTATATACTCAGATACACCCGGGAGGAGGTGGGCAACAACCCCTTTTGTAAGGACTCACTTCCTTACAGATACATATATTTATGATAAGTTTAGTAATTTTATTAATTATTTACTAGTTAACTAATTAATGAAGGTTAAAATCAGAAATATTATTATGGAAATCAAAGGATACGGTACTGTTTAGCTTGATCTGACTGTTTGTCTTGAAGATAAATAAATTTACTTTAAATTAAAGAATATTATCTTTATTTCTGACTTTTATATAAATATCATTCCAGTGTTTAAAGTAAGGTAAAACAATTTTTTTTTATTTTAGGGTAAATTATCTTGAAACTCTAGATAATTAATCTTATATAAAATTCGTGAATACTGCAGCATTTTACTGATTAAATAGAGCTAACTATTAAAAGTTGATTAATTTTATTAGATATCCAGTGAATTATGCTAATCTAATTTATTTTAATCTAATTTAAAAAATTTATCTGATTTATCTTAATCTGCTTTAGTTACTTTATCTGATTTAAATTAACTTTCTATATCTTGTTATATCTTTGCAACCATTTTATCAAATAAAACAAATATTAAATATTTACTAATTTAATTAGAAAACATTAAAAACAATGAAAAACCCGACAAAATTCAATCTCTAGCTGAAATTAATTTACTTAATAGTATTTACTATACTGATCAAAACTTTTCTGCTGAAAAATTAATGTAAATTTAATAAACTAATTAAACAAATTATTAAATTTAAAAAAAATTAATTTTATTTAATATTTAACGCTTTTCTGACTCAGCAAATTGATTAATTCAACTAATTAATTAAAATAATTAAAAAATTCTTTTTTATTCAAATTTTATTCATCTCTTTATTTATCTCTTTATTCATCAATTCTGTATTCAATTTATTTATCTTCCTTTATTTACTTTTATCTTTATTAATTTTATTTACTGTTATTCATCTCTTTTATTCGATTTTAGAAAAAAATGCAGGTTCAAAATAAATAAATATTTATTTTGAACCTAGGGAGATGTGTTAGCTGGACTATTACTTAATTATCTAACTAGATAATTAGATAGCTAACTAATCTTGTAACTGCTATCAGTCACTTCTACTACTATCAGCTGTCTGTCATTTTTACTGTCTTTACTATAATCAGACCTACTCTTATTATTCCAATTTCCTGTTTTCTTATTATATGATATTATTTACCTGTTCTGTTTCTTATTTTCTTATTATACAATATTATTCACTTCCATAAATGAATAAATATAAGTATAGCCCTGATTCCTGTTATTTACTGTCTTTCTTAAATTAATTTACACTCTTTTCTAGTGAATCATTCCCTTTGGTGAGGAGCCAATTATATTACTTTAGGTACTAGGTCTAATCAGGATTAGTGTCCTTTCCTCTTTTGGCTTAGTGCCGCCCGTTTTCCAACACTTATAAAAGCCCTCACTTTGTAAAAGCTTGGTTTAAAAAGAAAGAGTATACTATTATAATATAATGAAGATATATTCTTATTAAAGCTTTACACGTGATTTTATATATTATTAAAAAGTCTTTTATTTTTATAACTTTATTTATAATCTTGAACTATGTTTTATTTATTAATTTATATATAGTTTGATTAACTGTCTATCTGAATATAAGTTATCTTGATTAAACCTGCCTGCCTGAATCTTCTATCTTACCATCCTGCCAGCCCGCACCTTGACATAACAAGTACTTTAATAAATTTTATATTTTGAGTATATTTCTCTGCTTCAGCTTATAATCAGTCTTTTATTAAAATAATATATATATATATCTATTTATATAGGATATAAGATATTCTAACAGGACTTGATTATATTTAAAATGTTATAAAGTAATTAGATTACTTTTGGTCTAGGTGAATAAAAGCACTTAAACTTAATCTTAAGACTAAATTAGTTTATAACTAATTTTAAAGTACTTGAAAACTTATATATTATTTTATATCTATTATCTTGTTAGAGGAAAGCTTAATTATATTCTTAAAATCCATATTAGAAAGTAGTTTCAAAGTACTTTAAAACTGCTTAAGCAATATGTAACGGGAATAAATAAGAAAGATAAATATTAATATTAAAATATAGTAATTTATAAGATAATATAGCTTGTTCCTGCTTACTAAAGGTCTTGGTATTAACGTAATCGGTAAGCGAGCGGATCACGCAAGCGAGCGGATCACCTCTTACCATGGTTGAAATTTAAAAGCGATCTAAAGCCACCAAAACATGCATTTCTAGATAAAAACTAAATACAATCATGATTTAGACACTGGAACCTTCTATGCTTAATAACATGACAATCACTATATCGCGGGGGCGCCCGTACGCGAGGCTGCAATATATCTGGTACATCTGGTTCTTGTATAACAGGCCTGGTCTGTATGATCTCTTCTATCTGATTCCTGCTTTGTACGAGAGCATGTCCTTCTTTAATTAAGAGGCTCTCTATAGAAGCAATCTGTGCTTTTAATTGTTCTCTTTTTTGAAGCTTTTTTTCATGTGCAGTCTGTAAATCCTGGTTCTTCTTTATAAGAATAGTAGCTCTATTAAGAGTTATTTCAAACCTCTTAACAAGCTGATTTAATGCTATTTCTGTTAAGCTAAAAGGACTTTGTATATGATTTTATAAGAGTTTTTTGATTGTAGATACTTGCTTATCTAACTACTTGAGATTATATAGTGTTTTAGGTGTAAAGATAGTTGATTAACTTAGAAATGGTGTAAGGATCTTTAAACATATATTTAGCTATGATAGTACACATTCTAGCTGTAAAGAAACTAGTCTAGTTACTATAAAGCTATTCTAAATATTCTCTGGCTTAAAGGCTTCTATACAGGCGTTAAGATAGACCTCAAGAAAGTTGAGCTTGTTAATATAGTTAAAACCAAGCTATATCTGATTTTCAACTAGTCACTTGTACACACGCTTTAGAGATATAAAATATTTAATATTAAGAAACTATAAAAGATATAATGAGTATATTAATATATAAATTAATATAATATCATGTTTCATGTATATATAGTCAAATTAAAGAATTAAATAACTTTTATAATCATTAAAAATCAACAGCCAATATCTGCCAGTTGTACGGCTAATAGTTGCTAGAATAAAGAGTTTTTAAAGTCATTATAGTCCAATTTTATCAGTTATCCAGCTATTAGTATTAACTTCAATCCTCTAGTTACGTGGTAAGACATCATCTTCATACTATCTCTTAATATAGATCTTATCTTTAAAAATAATGTATAGTAGAAATGCCCATTCTGTATAATTAATATACTTAATAAGTGTGACTTATTTACAATTGCATGATTATATAAGAAATGGCTGACTAACCATCTCAGCTCTTATAACTACTTTTGTAGTAGCTACAAGACCTATAGTAAAGCCAGTCTTATTAATGTTATAGATATCCTTATCAGTGATTCTATATTATATCCTAGTAATTTATATACAGTTAAACTATTTAGAAATTATCTTAGGATCCTCATACTTTGCATGCTGATAATTATACCAGCAAGAGAAACAAGTTTTAAGTTTATCTTAGCGTTAAATAAAGTTGTATGTCCATTTTTCTCTAACAGTCTAGATAAAAGTCATGCCATGCTTTATTAATAGAATATTGGCCATTTTTCATACATAAGATAGTCGGGGACCTGCACCACGCTGATCTAGAGAAAGAATCTATTATATAAGTAATTTCTCATTATTTTAAGTCAGCTTATGGGAATTGGCGCGTGCCTTAACGCGAGAGACAACTCCATTAAACCGCTGTTAAAGAGTTGTAAAGGGAATATTATAAATACATACTGCTTTACAGATACTAAAGATTTATTTCTTTTATAAAGCAGAAATTGTAAGTAAAAGCCGGCCCTCCTGCTCAATAGATTCTTTTGAATTCGTACGCGCTTTTGGTGGCATGGTTTCTGGTTAAATTTAGGTGTGTAATACAATCGCGACCAGAACGCGTGAGGTGATCCGCTCGCTTGCGTGATCCACTCGCTTACCGATTACGTTACGTGAAAACGGGTATGGCTCACATAAACATTAAAACTAGGTCGCGTGAACTACGTCCACAGACCTTTAGGGGTCCTCGGGCCCGGAGGGTGTTAGATAATTAAATCTCATCTGACCCGGTAGCTAGCCTTCCAATCTTATGATCTTTAACGCTTCACACTCCGATAGAATTGAAATAATTCAAGAATTGGTCTTTTCTTTGGGTCGCTAACTTATACATAGTACAACAAGCAATGCTTCATTACATCACGCTGTTCTCTAAGCTAATCCTCTGGATACTCATCCTTGATATTACTGACAAATGTTCTGGTTTCTTCACTCCACCTTTTGAAATGCTTTCCCGCTACTGTAACAAGTGCCGGCGGTAACTCAGAGAAATCGCGATTCACGGGCTCAATATTCTCCTCGGCAACATAACGGACACTTTTATCCTCAACTCTGACAGCATTAGACCTATAATCGCAGTTCAAATAAGCCATGGAACTTACAATACGTGGTAGAAACTTTGGTGCCTGCCACCCTGTAGGCGGTCTATTCCCATCCTTCTCATCCATTGCTCACCCGCCCCGCACTCAGTGTCCCAACCCGTTATGATGGCTTGGTAATCATATCGACGATGTCTAAATACCTGCCCAACATGGTATTTGATTTTCGTCGGTTGAGAGAGTCGCCACTTAACCTGTTTCGGTATTTCGTCCACCGCCCTCATCACATGGAGGCTCTCCAAGATATGTTCATACTCGGGCGTTCCATGAAGAAGCGGGGCGACGTACTTTTCAACCAGGTGTATATCCGATGGGAATTCAGTAGCAAAAAGTTCCATTAGCCATAGCAGGTTATGTCTGATTTCCATCGGCCGGGCAAGATCCGCAAGCAACATAGACGACCAAATTGCAGCATATTTGGCACCCACCATATCCTCTGGTGGCAGGCGCACACTTGGTAGCTGGGCTGTATATTGCAATGAATTCAAAATATTTTTGCTGCATCGAAGGACAATTTCAGATGGGCGGGATTCGCCTAGAAAGGTTGCTTGTTCAACTGCAGTGGCGCCTAAGAAGTTCAATTGGTATTCCAAGTCCGCGACTGGCGTCTCGCTCTCTGAGCGGAAGGGATCCATGTATATTGGGTTTCCCTGTGTCCCGACTTCAAGTACATTACCGTCGACATCATGACCAATGGGCGGCATGATAATTACATGGACATGGAAAGGAAACCCACACGGTCGGGCGTCAAGGCCAACCCGCCGAGCAACAGAACAATAGATAGCGGCAGATATCAATGGAAGAGAGTTGTGTCGAGGGTCATTCAAAGCGATTCCAAGAAAGTTATGTTCCAAGCAATGGTACTCCTTTCCTGCATCGATGCCTGTAAGATTGTTGGCCCTTAGGAACTTCGCGATAGCCCTAGCCTTCTCACGAGATGCGAGCTGATATATGCCTGGACAGTTTAGTGAGAGAAGTGAGGCAATTGAATCTAGCTTATTGCTTATCTGAAACTCTATTAGACAGGAATGTGCTTTCAAAACACTGGGTCACCTACCTCTTCCAAATTGCCAAAGTTGCTCCGCGGGATGAAAAGATCGAATGCGCCTAGTGCTCTATCTAGAGACACTTCCTCGCCATTTCTCAGTCTAGCCCATTCTTGCACGGCGAGACTTCGATGGAGACAAGTGAGAAGCGCCTCCGCATAATATCTTATATTGAAACGATAGAGTTAGAACAAAATATCATCATCGGGAATCATGGACAGCACCAACCTCCTTGCTAAATAATCTTCTGCCTCGGGTTCTATTTCGAGATTGTGTAGAAGGGCATCCTTGGCATCGTACCCAAACCCTATGACCTGGCGAATCTTGTCGAATCTCCCAGTTTGATTTGCAAGAATACTGTCCAAAAGATGAGAAGTTGATCGATACTTTAGATGTCTTGATATATAGAGTGATTTCCAATCCACTGCGGAGACAGGGCTTGCAATCTTCGCCAATAGTTCATGTCCCTGGCCCCAATGTTTGAAGTGGCTCAAGCAATAAAAACGCCATAGCAAAGGTTCTGTTGTTACTCCGCGGAACCGGCGAGCCGTCTGTTCTAGAGCGGCAGTGGAATGGGGTGGGCAGTATCGTAGAATGGAATGTAGCAACTCTTCAGGGAAGCAGTCAAGAGACGGAACCATTCCGGTACATGTGGCACATCAAGAGATGACAGTAGGAACGACGGAAAAACTGCCCTAGAGCTATGATGAGTTTGCGCCGCTCATATCAGTGCCAGGTGGGAGGTAGTGTGCGAATCAGAGCCAAGCGGACTCTGAACCTGAGCGGAAAGCTTTGCCGTGTCATCTTCTCAGGCTCACACATTCCTATGGAGTGTATCTTCCCAAAGGTCACCATCTCCTTACTTCTCGATATTCTTTTTTAGACCCATGGGTCAATACCACTCCACGGCCAACGGAAAGGGTGCCGACTCTTCCACTGGGCCTCCACATGAGAAACTCGATTATTATGACCTTTTACAAGTGAACTGGGACGCATCTGCAGAGGAGTAAGCCTGCTTTGTCTTTCCGTTTCCCCCCACCTTTGTACATGCAATTCATATTTTGAAAGAAGAATGATGGAATGAATACAAATCCCCCTGGGATTGTTATGAGTTCCTATAAAAGGAAGGGATAAGATGAGATCCCATGCCACTAACATCCGACGCTTGCTTTTAGAATAAAAAAGGCATACAGAAAGAAAGCTCTTGAATTGCATCCAGATAGAAATTATGGAAATGTGGAATCTGCCACGAAGCTCTTTGCAGAAATCCAGTCTGCCTACGAAGTTCTGTCAGATCCCCAGGAGCGCTCATGGTACGATACACATCGAGATGTCTTGTTAGGGAGCCAGTGTGGTACTGGAGACTCCGTAGTCGCGCATAATATGCGCACGACGACTGCAGACGACATTTATAGGCTGTTTGCAAAGTTCAGCCCACAAATGGAATTTTCAGACTCCTCGGATGGATTCTACGGTGGTCTTCGTCAGATATTCTCGGGACTTGCAATGGAAGAGGAGATCTCCTGCCGTGGGTCCTCCACGGGAATGATTGCTTACCCAACATTCGGATGTCGCAGTGATAATTTCGAGGGGGTTGTACGCCCATTCTATGTCATTTGGGGTGGATTTTCTACAAGAAAGTCATTTGCTTGGAAAGATGTCCATCGTTATTCTGAGGCTCCGGATCGCCGTGTCCGTAGGCTGATGGAGAAGGAAAATAAGCGCCTGAGGGAAGACGGCATTCGAGAATTTAATGATGCCGTTCGATCGCTCGTAGCTTTTGTTAAAAAGCGCGACCCGCGATATAAGTCCAACGCCCAAAGTGAATCGCAACGTCAGGATTTTCTTCGGCAGTCAGCTGCAGCACAAGCTGCCAAATCACGAGCAGCAAATCAAGCTAGGCTACGAAACCATGTTACACAAGACTGGGCAAAGTCAGACGACGTTGAAGACGACGAGACTGTTAGTTCCGATGCCGAAATGGAATATTTTGAATGTGTTGTGTGTCGCAAAAGTTTCAAGAGTATGAAGCAGTTTGAAGCGCATGAGCGGAGCAAGAAACACGTCAAAGCAGTCAAACAGCTTCAAAAGGAAATGAGGAATGAAAATAAACAACTGGGCCTATCGGCAGATTCTTCGGAGTATGAAGCACAGGCCACAGTAACGTCTCCTTCGGAATCCGGGCCGTTACCTTCATCAATTACCGACACGGTCTCCGGCGACAATGACATTGAAAGTTGTTTACCGGCCCCTAGAGAAGCTGGCGAAGAAGTTCATTCGTGGGCTGATACAAACCAAGTATCGCTTATAAGTTCACGGGGAAATCCCGCTTCAACCTCGGAGGATGAATTGGACTATGCTACCAGGGATACCGTCGAGAATCGGCTCCAATTGACAAATAATTTAACACAGGATTTAACAGATACGGCGGATGGGTTATCTCAAGATCTATCGGGTCTATGTTTTAGTCCCTCCCAATCAACGGTCCCGAGAATAGGGAAAGCCAAACTGAAGCGTATTAAAAAAGACAAACTGATAAAGAACCAGCCCCGAAACATGAGATGTGCCACTTGCAGCGCTTCCTTTTCTTCTCGGACCCAACTATTTTCCCATATCAGGGAATTTGACCACGCACAGCCCCAGAGTGTTGCAGACCATAAGAAGAATTGAGATCTACACAATGCTTTACACCACTTGAATAAATCTGATCCAGCTCTCCATAAAGTAGGCCTTCGCGCAATGCTCACATCCCCCCAACACATGAGCATCGCTACCTTTGTAGCAAGCCCTTCCTACTGATGGTCTAATTACTGTATGACCTTTTATTACATGTGGTGGAAGTATGCTTTTAGACATTTTGACAGAGGCTTCTCGTAGATCTCATGTTCAGCGTTAGGAGTACCGAGAGCCGTGACTTGTTTCGGCTGTGATATCTCTCTGGTTATTTATCCTAATCCGGCTCTCGAGTTCTTTACAACATGTGCAACTGGAAGCAAGATACCCTTGTTATTCGTTGCGCCAAGAGGCGTACCGGTACTCCATCCCATTTTCTCAAGCATAGCCCTCCCCTTGTTTCCCGCACCGATTTCAGGTGCTGACCCTCCGACAACGTCGCCATCCATGTAGGAAACAGATGCATCAGGGCGATCACGGCGGGACTTAATGGACTTAGTTGACTTCATGTCACGGGATTTGGTCCCGCGTTGACTGTATCGTTTGAATAGTATTCGGTCCATTTGTGATATCGTTTTGGGAGTATATGCCGGAGTTCGAGACGTTTTGTGCACTATTGGAAACCTGGATGATCCCTTCCCTCGAGATTGTGAGCTCAAGGATAAGGCATTGGCCAATTCGTGAACTAATTTGCGGTGCTGCTTGGACATGGGAGGTAGAGCCAAACTACATGGGTAATTTAGTCAGATATCGTATACCATAAACAGTATGCGTTCGGGGAGGGGGGAGGTCACCTATTCTTTGACGATGAGAGAAACTTTCGGAATTCGGTTTTGAGATCCTCGAAGCCTATTCCATTTGTATATTTCGTTTTCAAAACAGGTTCCTCGCGACTGCGACCTAGCAGTCCCTGCGAACGTAGCTCTTCACGCTTTTGCTTCCTGGCCTTTTTCTTTGCCCTGTCATTTTGCCAGGCATTAATCAGCTCGGATTCAAGTTCGCTGTCGGAGAGTGTAATATCCAGAGCATGGTTTTTCCCTTTAGGTTTCTTTTTCACACTCGGTCGGTTGAAGTCCATGATATCAAATCCATAATAAGGATCAAACTCCAGTGCATCAGCAAAAGCCGTAGCCGATGCAAAGAATCCCTGCTCCAAGGTGTGCAGGGTCTGCATGAAATCAGTAGCGGAACCGTGTTGTGCTTCACTTTGGAGCATGACCTTTCCGCGGCCAATCGAACTTTTGGAACTTACATCTAACCCATCCTTCTCCTCGTCCTCCGTGTCGGAGATGCCAGATGAAGCAGCTGGCCCGCTGTGTGTTTGAGGATTCTGATTTTGTGTGGCTCCTTCTTCTGCCGCTGCTTCCCGACAAGTCTGCCCTGGGAAGGAAGTATCAGTCCCATCGCTCTCGTGTTTCTCCTCCGGCGTTAGTCCGTCGCATCGAGGAAAAGTCGTTTCTTGGTGCAGTACCAGGGTCTTTGCAGCTGCAGAAGTCACGGGGTCCAGGTTTGTCATGGACCCTGCTGAGTCGCTGGCGCGAGAATCGTAGCCTTGGCCTCTAGTCGGGTGCAAGGTGCTGGTCAGCATCAAGTAGTCGTCATCGATATTCTGTATGTAATCGGCGAGAATATCATCCTCATCCCTTTCCCATTTTTTATTGTTCTGCTTCTGTTTCCCTCCCCTGAGTGAAATGTAGCCAATACTATCACCTCTTGCCCGTGGATGTGATTCTGTCGAGTCGTCCCTGGAAACAGATGATAAACCGGTGTCAAATATGAAGTACTGATGTCCTGATTGAACGTGCTCAATTTCTCTTCTGTGCTGTAAACCACTGGTGACGGTCGTGGTGTGTTGCTCCTGACTTTCGATAGAGGGGTTTTTGCTGTCATCTTGCTCATTCCTCCGCCCACGAAACACGATTTCGTCTTCACTAGAGTCGACAGAAGTTTGTGACTTAAAGCCAACGACTTGATTCGGAGTTGATATATGGTCCACCACCTCAATACATTGCGATCGGTCCTTATCTTCTAATATAGGTTCTGGTGCCAGTGCTACCATCGTTTCACTAGGAATTTGTGGTTCCAGTGTCTCTTTGGGTTGAGCCATTTCAACCAGATTTTTGGTACTCACGGAGTGGTGTTCAGTTTCTCGGTCGGGTTGCGGGTCCTGGGCGCTCACAAACCGCACAGTCTGGTGGCGCAGAGAGGCACCTGTCCTCCAGAGATTGCGTCCTTCCGTGTTGCGCGCTTCTTGCTGCATTGTGAGCTGACCATTGTGGTGACCTTTTAGAGGTCAGTAGGCTTGCACAATTGAGTACCAGTGTGCTAATAATGCAGTACCTAGGTAATCATCTGCCGTTGTTCTTTGCTTTCTGTTCCGAGATTTTGCCTTGGTAGAACGTGTCATTTTCAAGGTGTGACTTCTGGTTTGTCCTTCACTATACTCTCAGTTTATCTGTATTGATTATACTGGTTGAGGATGTGAGTATGGGTGGTCCGTTGTTGTAGGTCATTTTCTTCCCCGTTGCTCGATCTCGCTCGATCTCGCTCTTCGTGATACTGTGTAGTTCATACTTATGTAAGATTTGGAGGCGGTCAAGGTTCTCGGCGGGGTTCAACATTTTTGTGTGTATTGGTCTCATGCGACCCTTGAGGCACCCCTCCCCATCCCCGTACACATTAATATCTTTACTACTACCATAACAATATCAAAACCGATAGGCCATGCCATACTATCTTCTTCTGTTGTAACCCCTCTTGCAATGACCTGCCGGGCTCATGGTTGCTTCATGAACTTGTCACCATGCAGAACTGCCACAGCCCTCCTAGCTTACCCCGTGACTACTGCTAATGCATAGATAGTGTATGACCCCTCCTGATCATTAGCTTCCTTCTTCGGTTCCTTCACCATATGGTCCCTACACTTTTGATATTATTCCTTGTTGGAGGTTATTAGTACCTTATTCTTCACACCTCCATGGTGTTACTGGGGTCTTTCCGATCGATTTTGGGGCCTGAGTTTCCCGTCATCACCACCGGGCCGAGGACAATATATAGTACCATCCATCTGAGAGTGACGTACTTCCTCCCACACTACACCATACCACTCTACCACTATTAGGCTACTACATCTGTGAAACCAAAGGCCATAACACATATACTGGGGCGATCGCAGACATGAACAGTGTGGATATAGGACGATGCAGCAAGCGCATCGTACAGTATCTATGGGACCCAGAACCCAAGAATGACGAAGATCCAAATGCATCAATCTGGTGTCTGGGAGTAGAGTACCCTCCCGACCAGGATAACACCCCGAAGACAAAGACATGTAAGGCTATGCAAGATAGCAACGGCGTATCGTGCAAACAAAATCACTCTGTTGAAACTATAACTGATACGATGTCAGTAGATAACAGCGATCATTGGCAGAACGCGCAGACGACAAGATCTGGGAAAACAACAGATCATGCCTGGCCCGAGTCATTCCTCTTAGACTTCGAATCAAAAATTTGGATGACATATCGATCAAGCTTCCCCCCCATACCAAAGCTCGAGGGAGGCGACATGAGTGCATCAATGACACTGGGGGTACGCCTAAGAAGCCACCTAGTAGATACGCAAGGCTTCACCTCTGATACTGGCTGGGGCTGTATGATACGATCTGGCCAGAGCCTGTTAGCAAATGCAATGTCTATGCTGCTTTGGGGGCGCGGTACTATTGTCCACACGTATTACTCGAATACTATGCTAACACACCACAAGGTTGGCGTCGTGGGAAAAACTTTGAGGAAGAGGCACAACTGCTGTCGCTTTTCGCCGATGTCCCAAGTGCACCATTCTCAGTACATCGTTTCGTCAAACATGGAGCGGAATCTTGCGGCAAATACCCAGGAGAATGGTTTGGGCCTTCTGCGACTGCTAAATGTATAGAGTAAGTTGTGTGTCCCCCTCCGCCATGCATGATGAACTGAGCAACAAAACAGAGCGCTTTCATCCCAATGTGAAAATCCAGTGCTCAAAGTGTACGTTACGAATGATACCTCGGAAGTATACCAGGATAAGTTCATGAGTGTCGCGCGCAACAATTCTGGTGTTTTCCAGCCCACCTTGGTACTTCTAGGAACCAGGCTTGGTATCGACCACATTACACCTGTATATTGGGACGGGCTAAAGGCTGCGTTGCAGTTTCCCCAATCGGTGGGCATCGCAGGGTATACTTCCACACCTTAGCCCCATTCCAACCATGCAGAAGCTGACGTCATCAACAGAGGACGCCCATCGGCGTCTCACTATTTCGTTGGCGCCCAGGGGTCCCATCTATTCTACTTGGATCCACACTACACTCGTCCAGCGTTTCCAGACCGCGAAAAGGGTGGATCGTACTCCAAGGACGAAGTGGATACCTATCATACCCGGCGATTAAGAAGAATTCACCTGAAGGACATGGATCCGAGCATGCTTATAGGCTTCCTTATCCGAAACCAAGAAGATTGGTACGATTGGGTGAACCGTCTACGAGCAGTTGAAGGAAGACCGATAATTCATGTATTGAATGAAATGAATACTGATCACGACCAGGAAGCGGAAGCCCTCAGCCAGGTCGAAGCATTGGACGATATTGAATAGAACAGTGGTCTTGATGAAGCATTCTATATGTAGTTGAACTTGTGCGCATGTTGAGCCGTCATTTATCAATTTCAGTTGGCACTCTCATGAACATGCAACCAAGCAATTTGAAATTCGGATTCTGCTAGGGAAGGCAAATCCGCGCAACCAACCCCAGGTCCGAGTTATGTTACACCGCATTCACGTCACGAAAACCATAAAAACATTTGGCCCAAAGGGAAAAAAGAAATAAAGCCATCCCATGACACATTAAAATCCCGCGAACACCCTGTAACCCACCACCTCAAAACCGTAACAGATGACGAGGTAGCAAAAGAACAATCCTGCAGAAACAAAAGAAAGAGAAAAGAAAATGTTTATTTGGCAGACGACGAGTACTTCGTGACAGCCTTGGTGCCTTCCGACACCGCATGCTTCGCCAATTCACCGGGAAGGATGAGCCTCACACTAGGGTCATTGGTCAGCTGTGACAAAACCACCATGGCAAACATGACTTACGAGGTCTGGATCTCCCTTGAAGAGATGGTGGACTTCTTGTTGTAAGCGGCAAGTTTGGAGGCCTCAGTCGCGACACGCTCGAAGATATCTGAAATTGTTAGATACGTGAATATAACTATGTCATAGTTGAAGCATACCGTTGACGAAAGAGTTCAGGATAGACATCGCACGAGTCGAGATACCGGTATCAGGGTGAACCTGCTTCAGGACTAAAACAAAGTTAGTCTTCTTTGAGAAGGTAATGCCTCAGACTGCTTCCCTACCCTTGTAAATGTAAGACGAGTAAGTCTCCTTTCTGGTCTTTCCACGCTTCTTCTTATCGCCAGAGGCGGCGGCGGCAGTCTTCTTGCCAGCTTCCTTCTTCTCAGCGGGAGCCTTGCCGCCAGCCGGGGCCTTGCCACCGGTACTGGGCTTCTTCTCAGCGGCTTTGGGAGGCATGTTTAGAAATCGAGATTAGGTATGAGGGAGAAAGAAGGCTGGTAATAAACTATGATACGAGGTTGCGTTGATGTGAGCGGAGGACAGAATGAGGAGGAGAACAGGAATGATGGAGACGCGGTGACGAGGGGAGGCGCGCTACTTATACTAGCTCGCAAATACACAGTTGATCCTGAGTCCGCAAAAGAAGCAGAATTTCGATACGGTTACAAATGTGTATGATCTGTATGATTAGATGAGGGAAAACGCGTCAGTCACTGCGGAGAGTTGACTAAGATCACGCTAACATTTCCGTAATAAAACAGCACTAATATATTACCGCGCCTTACTATATCTGGACAGCCACAGGCGAAATCATACCAAACACCTCTTTGCCAAGCTATGGGTGCACCGGAGTATGATCTCTTTTGTGATTGGCTGGCCCCGCTAAGCGAGAGGGTGATCTGAAAGGCTCCCGGGTAGTCCAACGTCACCCAGATCGCGTTGTTATATATGTCCTCCGCTCCCTCGCGTTGGCCGACAACCCTTTAACACCGTATCCTGCTCTCGACCATCGTCATTTTATCGACTCGCGTCGCTAATAGCTCAATTATCTTCCAACCACCCCATCCACCAAAATGACTGGAGGCAAATCTGGAGGCAAGGCCAGCGGCAGCAAGAACGCTCAATCGTATGTCATTGACCTGTCTTCAGCAATCTAGGGAGATCTTTAAAACTAATGAATAATTACAGCCGTTCGTCCAAGGCCGGTCTCGCCTTTCCCGTTGGTCGTGTCCACCGTCTTCTCCGCAAGGGTAACTATGCCCAGCGTGTCGGTGCTGGTGAGTCTACATGTCTCCGTCATTAAACTTCATAAATGAAGTCTAATTTCACCAAAGGTGCTCCCGTTTACCTTGCTGCCGTTCTCGAATATCTTGCCGCTGAAATTCTCGAGTTGGCTGGAAATGCCGCTCGCGACAACAAGAAGACTCGTATCATTCCCCGTCACCTCCAGCTCGCCATTCGCAACGACGAGGAACTGAACAAGCTTTTGGGTCACGTCACCATTGCCCAAGGTGGTGTCCTTCCCAACATTCATCAGAGTGAGTTTCAACCGCTTCGTGTGTCACAGTCTACGATACTAACGCCGCACAGACCTTCTCCCCAAGAAGACCCCCAAGAGTGGAAAGGGCCCGGGAAGCCAGGAGCTGTAAACAATTTCTTTCTAATTTGGGTTCTCTGATTCGGCGCGGTTTGGTTCTCTTATTGATGTGATAACGGGGTTCTGGTCGGAACGTTTATGGCTCTGCGTTTTCTTTTTCTAGTTTCCTTTCAGAGTTTATGGTTGTACATTATGTCTACGGGCATGGAATGATACCGACAGCATTTTCATGGATTCAATCTTTCCTTGGTTTAAAACCTGGGTGTTATGCCTTTGATTCAAGACTATGATGTCTTCCAGTCTTGTTTTCGAACACTGAAGCTTGTGTGGAGTCTTAACTGAGGATAGTAGACTGGTTGAATTTATTCTATCTAAAGCACTATTAGGCCGGGTGGTCCGCGCACAGCAGTTACAATGGCGATATTTAATGGTGTGCGGCGCTTTCCGAAGCAACTAGCAGATAGTGTCAATACAACTACTCTTTTCATACGGTCATGTTCACTCACGGGGCAATTGGGGAGCGGGAATGTTCCTCTCGTATTTGCTGCCTTCAGGGATGTCAGATAATCAGGACTTGAGTTAGAAGGCTTCTTTCACACTCACCACCTGGAGCGGTAGGTGCGCGATAAGGGTCGGGATGTTTCCAGGTCTCTAGTAGTTTTTCCGTCTCTTGGAGTAATACCTGTCAGATCCGCTATCAGTTTGTTGAACACAGGGTGCAAAGCATTAGGAAGGGACGCTTGCCTTTTGCTGGCGAGGGTCGCGAACATCCTTATTGGCCTCGAAGAGTGAGCGAATATACACTGCCTGTCCTCTCCAGATCTGGCGGTGAACGGCCCAGTCAAGTGCCAGTTTCAAAGAGCGTCTGTAGAGGGAACTGTACAACAAGGTCAGAATATCTTATGTCCGCTCTTCCTTCGATCAACTTACGCGCCAGCGTTGAGAGGCATTGTAGCTCTGCAGCAATTCTGCTAGGAGACTGTTCTTCTTGTGTTTTCCTTGGGAGGCCGGCCGGGGTAGTGCACCAGAAATTGTCGGGCGCAGTCTTCGGAGCTTTGCACAAGTTAACTCGCTCAGCTGCTTAGCCGTTAATGATCCTCGGCGGGTCGAATAAAGTACCAAGTTGGCATACTCCGTTTCCCGGACAAGCGTAATAATTATACTCCGTTCATTTGCCGGGCGCAGGGAAGACAAGCACTGCTGAGGGAGATTCCGGTTGTCTCGGCCCGGGCTTGAGGTCTCTTGGCCCTGACTGTCATAAGTTTCGTCACTCTGCAATCCCCGGCAGGAATTATCCATAGGACTAGAGTCCTGCATATACTTTCACAACTCAAAGCTACTTTCCCACAAGTTTTCATCTCGAGTCTACAAACGAAGTTACCTAATCAAGTCATAATGGCTTCTCGATTACCGTTTCACCGTCTCTCTGAGCAACATCTGAGGACTCTTCCTCGACACGCCAGCGCCTCCCGCAGCCTCCACTCTGGCCGTTGCAGGAACTTCACGTCCGTTGCGCTCCAGAATCCCGCTAAAGCCTCTCTCAGGCCGACCTCGGGACTCCAACAAATCGCGGTTCTGGGGTTAGTGACAATCAAATTTTGGTGTTTCATGGCAATGGAAAACTGATTGCTCTCGTAGTCCCAACGTCTCACGCTTCAACATCGTTCCATTTTGGCGTTCTCAAATCAGAACTTATGGTAATACGGCCCCTCTCCATCTTTACGAAACGTCGCTCTAATAAAGGCTGTTGTCTTTCGATAGCGGACACTGTTGTCAAGGTTCCGCAAATGGCGGAATCGATTACAGAGGGAACATTGAAGCAATTTTCCAAGCGTAAGATACCGGCACCCTGTCCACTTTGATACACTAACAATGTTTGAAGAGGTTGGCGACTACGTCGAGCGGGATGAGGAGATTGCGACCATCGAAACAGACAAGGTAAGCGACGAGAGGCGATAACCACTTTTGGATCCTGCGTACGCCCTTAGGGAATTCAGAAACAGCGGCTCACTTGTCACAGATTGACGTGTCAGTCAATGCTCCAGAGTCGGGTACAATCAAAGAGCTCCTCGTGAGCGAAGAGGACACAGTTACGGTTGGGCAGGACCTTGTCAAGCTGGAGCTTGGGGGCGCCCCTGAAACCAGGAAAGAAGAGGCAACCGAAAAGCCAGCCGCCCCAGCCGCCGCCGATAAGCCCACAGCTTCGGAACCCACACAGCATAAAGCACCGGAAGCACCGAAAGCTCCGTCTGAGAAGCTTACAACGCCGGAGCCTAGTCCCTCGAAGAAAGCAGAACCAACACCTACCAAGTCGCAGGCCCCTGAGGATGCGAAACCCAGCGTTGGGGGTCGTGAAGAACGGAGGGTATGTACCCGATTAACCCCCCATTTCTCTAGCTTCCTGCTGATATAATACTCCTTTGTATTTGTCTTATAGGTGAAGATGAACAGGATGAGATTGAGAATTGCGGAGCGTCTGAAGCAGTCCCAGAACACGGCAGCTTCGCTCACTACCTTCAATGAAGTCGACATGTCCTCACTTATGGAGTTCCGGAAGTTATACAAGGATGCTGTGTTGAAGAAGACCGGTGTGAAGCTTGGATTCATGAGTGCCTTTTCACGTGCTTGTGTTCTGGCCATGAAAGATGTCCCCGCAGTCAACGCATCTATCGAAGGCCCCAATGGCGGCGACACAATCGTTTATCGCGATTACGTTGACATTAGCGTGGCGGTTGCTACCGAGAAAGGTCTTGTCACACCAGTAGTCCGCAATGCGGAAACTATGGACCTCGTTGGCATTGAGAAGGCCATTGCGGACCTTGGCAAGAAGGTCGGGAACTCCTCAAAGCGGTCTTTATTCTATACCTTGCTAATTTTTCGTTTACCAGGCCCGTGACAACAAGTTGACAATCGAGGACATGGCTGGAGGCTCTTTCACCATCAGCAATGTGAGTACACGGGTACCTGGCAAAAAGAGGCTTGCTTGGATATTGATACTTTTTACAGGGTGGAGTCTTTGGCTCTCTGATGGGCACCCCGATTATCAACCTCCCACAGACAGGTGAGTCTGGATTTCGCAGGTCACTTGGATGTATGACTAACTTTTTTCAAGCTGTTCTTGGCCTCCACGCAATCAAGGACAAGCCGGTGGCTGTGAACGGTAAAGTTGAGATTCGACCTGTATGTTGCCATTCTGGAAATGAACGCCGCGCTAGCCGCTAATATTGTGTGCAGATGATGTATCTGGCCCTGACGTATGATCACCGACTACTGGACGGCCGTGAGGCTGTGACTTTCCTGGTCAAGGTCATTCATCCACCTTAAACCGCTTCCTCAGAATTGGATGCTAACAATAACTAATGCAGGTTAAGGAATACATTGAAGACCCCCGTCGCATGCTGCTGGGCTAGATCTTCTTTACTTAGGCCCTGGGTAGCGGAGGTATTATGCCCCATTTTATGCCTTGGGTCGAGATTCTCGACCTGTAGACTAGCCGTTTTGTATGGAAATATAAACATATCAGCTTACATTACAAATTTCAACTGGTGTCGATTGCATTCTATACCAAATATACAACCTTCATCTTCAAACACGAATCACCATGTACATACATGTCGAGCCGTCGTCTGCCGTTAAAGTCCAACCTTGTCTTTCAATTGCTGGGTCTCTTCACGGCTCAGTCCACCAAGTTTTCCCCTTTCCAGTTGTAAGAGTATTGGTGGGTTTAGCGTTTTCATCAGATTGGTGAGGAAAACATGTACTGCAGGAGCCATGCCATTTATGTGTGATATTCTTTGCGGAGCTTCTCTCGTCCCATCGGGTGGAGGATCGATGGGCAACCGAATGTAACTCAGGTATTCGGTGTTTGCCTGGCTTATTCCGGAATTTGAAGTTTTGCGCAGGCGCTCAATGACACGGTGTACACATTCCCTATACCCATCCCGTGATCGGTTACCAATCGTGCGGCACTCGCTCAATGCAGCTTGCATTATTAATTTTGTAGCAATATCAGCGTGTCCCTCTGGCAATCTATTTTTCGAGGCATGGCATAGTGTGATGAATCTTTCCAACAAGTCATAGGACCTGTTCAATACTAGGGGCCAGCCATTGCTAATGTAGGGTTCGTCGTCCCTGGGGGGCCGACGCAGGAATGATGAGCGTCTTCGGGCTTCTGTTACGGGATACTCGACCCGGTTAGTTGTGCGCTGGATTTCTTGCGGCAGTTCGGTGGTAGCCGGCGCTCTACTCTGTTCCAAGAGCCTGTGGTCATCACTAAATATCTGTGCAAATTCTAGAATCTGGATCTTGATATGTATATCCTGAGAGAATAGGTGTGCGTGTAGGAGTGCAGCCCTAATAGCTGTAAATTGAACGTCAGTATTTCTCACTCGCTGCCGGATGTATGGTGGGATTCATACTGTCGATGGTGTTGAGGTTCCAACTGACGTCCCAGTCACGGGTCTGCTGTCCCTCGGTCTTGGCTTTTCCAGAGCACAGGACTAGGTCAATGGTGACACACAAAAGATAATCCAGTATCATCAGGTCTACCTCTATTTGGGTATCCGGGTCTGCCGTTTGAAATTCCATTGTGAGGGGGGGCAGGGATTTGGCAAGGAAGCCATTATGTTCGGTTCATGACAACTGCGCAATACTAGTAAGGTATGTACTGGTCACTGTTCCCATTCCTCCGTCTACGGGTATTGACAGGACATACTAGCTGCAGTCAGGCGGACCTGGGAATTCTCAATGATCAGTTAATTACAAGCCAAGAGTTGGCGGACCAGGCTGCTACCCGCATGACTAAACGCTTCTAGCCAATGGTGAGTGATCCAGGGGTGGCTTACTTAACTCTGTGCTTGAATAGGACCCGGTGTTAGGTACATCCATCGTTCAAGTCCAAAGGCGATCAATTCATCGGGAGTTGAGGTGGTCATAAACTGAAAGACTCTGAGTTCCAGAGCACAGCCGTACGGCCGTACGGCCGTTAGTCATTGCAGGAGAGCACAAAGTATCAATGTGTGCTCTTGATGTGGCTGATGTGAATGTGAATGAAACATATATATCGGTTTACTTACTCTGTATATGAGTATAAAATAATGGCAAGGGGTAATGATTTCAGCCCCGATGACCTATTCCACAGATTAACCTGTACATGGTCCACTCACAGGCCAGTTTTGTTTACCACGTGCAATACTTCGTGTTTATCTATATCCTATTTTCAGATGCAGGACAACGCGCTCCAATACCATTACCAACACAGGGGGTTATGGGCACACACGTGACTGTATGAGGGTGGACGTTAGCATGGCGTCATATATCTACACAGTAAATACTTAAGCTACCCCAATTCAATATGAGATTCTGCCACGTTCCGACAGCAGCATCCCTGTTTGCATTGACAATCCCAGACACAAGTTTGGGAGTCCAGGCATATTTTCCTGCTACATTGGCTTAAGGTAGGGGAAGCATCTGTGTGTTGCATGTTAAGAAAAGTGCCTATAGGTGCAGCCTTATCACCCACCAAGGTCTCGCGAAAGTCCACATCGATGGCGTGGTACTGTTCCGGCTCCACGAATCGCGAGCTGATTGAGAACTTGTCCAAGACCGGCCTGATAAAGAATGAGAGAGTGAAGATGGCTATGTTATGCGTGAGCAACTACCACCCCCTGGACACCTCAGGACTACATGTGTCTCGATTTCATGCGCCCCCCCGAGAGAAGACAACCCCCCTCCCCCTTCCACCCCAGGAAAGAGCTGACATCCCTCACCTCCGCCCCAAGAGTCATGCATCCTGCACCGGATGGACAGGGCCAAACTAGAAACTTCTTCCGTTCTTGTTTGGACTGGTTTTCTGACCGAGACACAAGGTTGACCGCGCCCATTACGCGCCCTCGAGGCCATATTCGGACTCGCCGCAGCCCATTGGCCATGGGGCAACCATCTCTGCACCCCATATGCATGGCCATGCATGTGAATACCTCATCAATTTCCTCAAACCCGGCTCGCGCGTGTTGGACATTGGGTCTGGCTCGGGCTACCTGACTCATGTCCTCGCCAACCTCGTCATGAGTGCTTCCCCCACGAACGAAACCAGCGGTCAAGTTATAGGAGTAGACCACATTCCGGAGCTGGTAGAACTAGCACGCGAAAATATGCGTAAATCGAAGCAAGGGCGCAGTTTCCTCGAGTCTGAAAGTGTTAAATTCGTCCTTGCTGATGGCCGCCTGGGCTGGGAAGAAGGTGCGCCGTACGACGCCATTCACGTTGGCGCAGCCGCCGAACAACTCCATCCTACGCTTATCGAGCAACTTCGCGCCCCGGGGCGGATGTTCATTCCTGTTGATGCAGACGATGATGAGGGTGCTGAAAGTAGCCTTAGGTTGAGTGGTGGACAATATATCTGGGTAGTTGATAAGAGAACGGATGGATCAGTTCACAAAGAAAAAGTATTCCAGGTTAGCTACGTTCCCCTGACCGACCGCCCGGGAACCTAAGGAGCGTGTTTGTCTGTTCTCTTCCCTGCTGCACTGGAAACGACAAAAGATAGCATCAAGCCGGTTTTCTTTGATCTGATGTACCCAATTCTGAGATCTCAAGATGGTGTGTGAACATCAATATTCAAATCAGGATTACCAGTGTTGGAGGATCGGGATATGTCTATGGTACAAAATGCGTGGGGAGTCTGTCCAAAAAAACCTAATGGAACAAGGCGAGACCCTGGAAGAACAAAGCTCAGAATGTCTCTTTTGATAGTCGTAAGTCCGAATTTGGACTCAGCGAAAAGGAAAGCCACCGGGGAAGTTGAACCCTTGCCCCGAGAACTTGAACTGTGGGCCGCCTTGTTGGAAGAAGAATTGTTGTCCACCACCTTGCCCAAACGGGCTTCCTTGAAAAGGCCTGCCCCTTTGTGACTCGGGATCATTGGGGTCATCGCCATTGTCGTATCGGGCTCGCAGTTCAGAATCGGAGAGTACCTCGTAAGCTTCATTGATAGAGGCCATGTTCTTTTCAGCTTCCTCCTTAGTGACGCCCTGGGAAATAGCCTTATCAGGGTGATGCTGTTTCGTGAGTTGCCGATAAGCGCGTTTAATTGTCCGATCATCCGCATCACGGCTGACACCCAATACTTTATAGTAGTCCTTCTGCTTGGAGCGTTTCTGTAGCATATGGGCCTTCTGTAAAAGCGCCTGTACTTCCCTAGAGCCGGAGTGGTGTTCTCTCGCTTGATTTAGCAGACTTATAGCATCATCAAGCCGGTCCTCGTCAATAGCAGCCTCACTCTTGAAGAGGAGCCCTGCCAGGGAATGCGGATCAAAATCCAAAGCTTGAGAGCAATAAGAAGTAGCCCGCTTTGGCATTTGCGCCTGTGGGTATACGTATAATTAGAAATGCATTGCAATAAGGATTGACCAGCGGGGGATAAGTGCCCACAAACCTCACGGAAAGCTTCGCAGGCCTGTTCGACCAGTGTGGCATAAAGGTTGTTGGGGGCCGCTGGATGAATGTGACCAGCTTCTTTTGCTTGCTCGACATCTCTCTGCACATCATTAAGGAGGCCGCTTTCGTCACCAGCGCCAACCAGCATATTGATGGCGTTGTTGTATTTTCGCAAATCCACGGCATCTTTCAGTTTCTGCAACCGCTTTACAAGCTGTTTCTCCCTGCGATAGAGGCGATTGCATGTTTTTGAATCGGGATCAGAATGTAGACATTTGCGAATCTGTGAGATACCGCGGTCATTGTCTCCCAGGGCATAAAAAAGGGTCGATGATATCTGTAGATAAGGCTCTAACGAGCTTGGATATATCTGAAGAACGTGAAGAAGATCGCTGATCCCCTGTTCCATCTCGCCCGTCTCAAAGCGACAATGTGCTCGAGCCCGCCGCAGGCTTAGCGACATGGGTGCTTTGGACAGAGCCACATTTGCTTGGCTGACGCAGAAATCCCAAGCTTCACGGTTTTCCGCTTCAAGCGCGGCTGACGCAGCATCACGCGATTCCTGAAGTTCCTGGTACTCGGGAGCAGATTTCTTACCAGCCTTAGCAAGATCATCCAGTGCACCCGCCCAGTCAGCAGAATTGGCCCTAAGGCGTGCCCGCTGTAAAAGAGCGCTTTCGAAATCTGGCTTCAGTTGCAGAACCCGGTCGAAGTCTTCTAGAGCCAGCGAGCTCTTACCCAGGGACAGATGTGCTGCACCTCTTTGAAAAAGCGTCAGGTAATTCGTTGGATCTCTGGCCACAGCTGCATCAAAATACAGCAAGGCCTCGCGGGGGGAGCCCCCCGCAAGGTGTGTTTTCGCAGAAGCAATTAAAGACGACAGTGGTGTGTCGGGGGATATGTGGGAAGACTGCAGACTATGAACAGCCGATAGAAAGGCCAGAAAGACCGTAAGAGAACACAGAGATAGGAGCATTGTGTTTTGCCGCCGGCGAAGCACTAGAAATTGGACGCTGACGATGAGGACAGGGGATGACTATGGCAAGATTATCATAGTAGGCTTGAACTTGTAGCCAGTATAGAATGGGTAACCGAGAATGGACGTGAAGGAGCGTGAGGGACCTTGGAGAGGTCAGATAGTGATTTACATATTATCAATGCCAACGACAGCCGCCAGGACACTTTCATTGTTCGTCGAAGAGGGGGGTGCGGTTGAGAGAGGAGGCTCGACTCACGATTACTTCCAGTCTGGCCTTTACAACAGCCTTACATACAGTAATATTACCGGGGTTTATCCGGTGTATCGCGATGTTACCGGGTACCCGTACTTACACTTCGCATTCTGATCCTACCAGAGGCAACAGCTGGTCCGACAACTCCTGCACGTTAGAATATGTTCAACGCTCCGTGGGTATGCCCTCGATGTTTTGCGCGGTCTGTTGCTAGGATTGGTTCCACTCCACGCCTGTTTCTGCAGCGCCGGGGCCTGAAGACAGGTTTGCATCACCCTCATGCTATTTCTGTTCAACTTAGAACTGGAGACTGACGCGACCTGCGCTAGATTCCGGTCTTTCACCAGCCTTATTGGCACGCGCCCGTTCTTTATCCAACGAGCATTCTACCTTGTCCGCACATTTGGCAGAGGTCTTCGATGCGAAACTAGCGAAGCGAGTGGGTGAACTTGCACCTATTGCAAGCACCTTGAAAGAATGGGATCATGCGAATAATGTGCGTGGTTCCTAATGCTTCTGTGCATTCGGCTTTGGTTGACAGGTTGCAGTCTATAGCAGAATTGCTGTCCCTGCTTGGTGACCCCAACACGGATTCCGAGCTGAGGTCTCTTGCGGTGGAGGATCTGGAAAGCAGCAAAGTCGCACTGCCTACTATAACGGATAATTTGAAAAAGGCCCTTATACCTCGCCATCCCTTTGCAGATCTCCCGTGCTTGCTTGAAATACGCCCGGGTGCTGGGGGAGATGAGGCGGGTCTATTCGCTTTCGAGGTATTGAGGATGTACATCGCATTCTGCTCACGTCGTGGCTTTCGATATAGCCTTCTAAAACAGGAAGTCGCAGACGGCCCTTCCGAAGATCGTCTGAGCGAAGCGGTACTGGAAGTAGCCGCAGATGGGGCTTATAACATCTTGAGAACCGAGTCGGGCGTCCACCGAGTACAGAGGGTTCCAGCTACGGAGGCCAAGGGCCGCACCCATACCAGCGCTGTTAGTGTGATGATTCTTCCGAGTTTTCCAGAGACTGGAAGCGGCCTCGACAGTTCACTCAATTTCGAGGACCCAAATAGTGACTATTATGTTGATCCCCAAGAGGTCCGCACAGAGAAGATGCGAGCCAGTGGCGCCGGCGGTCAGCATGTAAACAAAACAGAATCAGCCATTCGGCTGACCCATATACCGACGGGTATTGTTGTCTCGATGCAAGATTCACGGTCTCAACACTCCAATCGGAAGAAGGCATGGCAGGTCTTACGGGCGAGATTGGCTGAAGCAAGACGGGAAGCCCGGGAACAGGAATTAGTTGAGCTAAGGAGAGGGGTGATGGGAGGTGTGGCTCGGATGGGACGTGGTGACAAAATCCGAACGTATAACTACGGTCAGAATCGCTGCACGGATCATCGCAGCGGCATCACCTTACACAACCTAGATGGCATTCTTGATGGAGGCGTGGGTTTAGAAACTGTAATGAATAGTGTACGGACATGGCTCGTCGACCGTGATATAGCCGCCATGACTGCTGAGGAATGAGTCAAAGAACCAAATGGCCGCGAGCTCAACAGTGATAGTGTTTTTGTATAACCCATGAAAACAGCCATTCGCTCGTTAACAGTCTAGATACATGCATATAGTATGGCACACAATAGTTTAGTACCATGCATTTTGACAAGGTTAGAAGAAAATACCTCGTCTCATAATGTTTGGTATCCACTGCTGACTGTTTGCAATCAGATGTATCTCCTTTCGGGGTCAAAACTATCCAATGCATCCATTGTTTTCTCGTACCTGCGAGATGTTAGGCCTGTACACAGTTGGCAATGAGGGTCGTGTGGGCACGAACATGGTGAACACTATGCCTCCGCTAATTATCAATCTCGCTAGTCGTGGGACGGCTCCGGACCAGAGGGTCAAGACTCCCTCGTCCTTGAATATACGCGCTGCGCAGACAAAGCTGTTCTTATAGTTCTTGCTGGCTTCTAGCGATTGCATTCTACTGCCGTATCAGCAGCTACATGCATTTTTCCTTTTTCCATCCTTTCTGTTCTTTCTTTTTTCTTGAAAAGGGGGATAGAGAACGGTGGTGGACTCAGCCGCTCGATACGTACCTTGTCTTGACAGTATCAAGAGGTTGTGTAACATAACTGTGCGCAAGTAGATCAGCATAATGACCACGAGAGGTATCTAAGGGGCGTGGAGTGAATCTACACAGTGATAAGACCTGCAATGCCCCCAAGAGCAAATGTACTCGCGGTTCCCAATTTCTCACCCGGGGCGACGTGGCCCTGGGCCATTTGCTTCAACATTGTGTAGCTTGAAAACCGCACTGCCGAGTTGGCAGCCTGCCGCGCAGTTGTAGGAATAAAGCCCTGGAAGAATCCCCGAACACCTCGTTCCTGAAAGATGACCTTACTGCCGTGTAAAAACCCACGCATGCGAGGGTTCTGCGATTTGCGATCATCTATTCTGTAGCATTTACAGATATGGCAAGGAGTCAGTACTATCCATACAATGCACAGCAGATGAGTGCTAGCCTGAAGAATAGGATGATCGATGTCTGGGGTCAACGAACAATTGCGTTTTAATGCTCTCAAAAGGAGTAACTGCCAGCAGAGACTCCGTAAATCCCGCTCCAAATCCCGCGATAACAGTCCTAGGTCCCGAAATATGGCCATTTTCATCCTGCAATAGCGATTTGAATCGGTCGAAGGCGACAAATCCTTTATCCAAGAGAAGACCCCAGCATGAGCCACTACACGACGCGAGACTCTCTCTGATAGAGTAGGATAGAACTCACGGATTCCTGCCTTCAGGGAGTTCCCTATAATCAAAGTGGTGCACCCAGCGTACCATTGTTTTCCAAACGGCGGCCATGGCAGTTTCTTTGCGTCGGGTAACCTGCGGTTGAGCTGGGATCGGGTTTTCGCAACTGGATGTATTGAGTATTACACGCCGGTAGTGATGGCTAAGTCTGATGTGTGTCTTACATTCAGCTGGATAGGTAATTGCTGTTATTGATTTAGCGAATGATACTGTCAACAGACATCAGAAAATGGGTTACCAATCTCGACTGCACCGGCAGTAGACCCTGCGATAATGGACCGCAGGCTGCTGGGCTAAGTCTTCATTAGTAAAGCAATTGGTGGGTGGGCAGGGCATTAAAAGGAGTACGGCAAACCTTGGGTCTCTGCTCGTTCTCGGAGTTTGCCATTGATGAGGTAGTACCGTAGTAGTTCTGCAGACCAGCGCGGAAGCCTGTTGGTTGGCTATTCGCTCGGAAATGTTGAGTACGGAGTACTTCGTAGTTCTAGTCATGCGAATACGGGGTTCGGTGAGAGCAATTCCGGCAAAATCCACCCGGTACGCGGGGTAAGTTATCAGTTAAGTTCAAAGCCAATAGATAGTACCTAGTACAACTGTATATAATAATATTGCCCTGTGCTCCGGAACGTCCATATATCACTGCTCGGACCTACCACTACGTTTCCCAGTATATCCATTGACCTAGAAATGGTTTTGGTGTTCTCCAGGGATTGTGAATTGTCATTCCGCCACACACTACTAATTACATCGTAAGCTTGGATATCGTGGTGTCTGATGGTTGACAGAAACCACAGCGGCATCTAATTCTCCCTGGACCTTTTTTTTTTTTTTCGCTGCCCCCACCCCCTTCTTACTCTCTGTCTCTCTTTCTCTCTCTTTTTTTTTATTTTTATGGTTTTTTCTTTTCTTTTTTTTTGTTTTTCTTTTTTTTCTTCCCCCCTTTCAGAACCAGCCCTCTTGCAACATACACCACAACCACCATTCAATCCATATATTCCTTCTTTTCCTTCCTCATCTCCCTTCTTTTCCATTGTGATTCGGGCGCGACCCTATGTACCAATGCCCATGGAGCTTTGCAAAATCATCATAGTCCCTCATTGAGTATATGAGGCAGATTCCAACATGCCTACTAACTCAAACAAAGATCAACCCAGTGTTGTATTTCAGGGATGCCAATCGACGGGCGATGATGAATCTGCCCCGCACATTTTTGACGATGGTTGGGCGGCGAGATGATCGACCGACAGTATGCGACGCCTGAAAACAGGACCCGTGAAGTTGAAATATGGCCTAGGTGAGCAAACCACAAAATCGTAGTGAAAGCCGTGAACGCAGAGCGCCAAATGCAAATTCCAAGTCACAAATAACACGACGCGCAGACCATTATACGCATAACTGAGCCATGATGCATGGGCGGAGAGGGGAATTTGTGATTCGTAGTCGCGTAAGGCATCTGCAATGACAAGAAAGCCCCGCGGCTATAGGAATCGGATCGATCGATAGATATCTGCCTGTTAGTAAAAAGGCACCCTCAAACGCCAAGGCGAAAAAAGAAGAAAAACAAAGTCGAGAATGCCCGAAAACGCCGTGAACCCTACATCGGATCATCTGATGCAGTGTCGAAAGAAGATATGTACATTTGGCCGAAGCCGAAGCGAAAGCACGATCACTAATCGTACCAACAAGTGCCGGGGAAGCCAAGGCCCCAAACTGGTGCACTCTTTTGAGAAAGGGAGAAAATTAGAGAGGCATAGGCGTGGATGACGATAAGGGAGAAGAGCGGTAGCTGAAGAGGCACAGGGAACGAAAAAGATGAGAGTAGCACGCAATATAATACATATCTCCCAAACGTTACCATAGGTCATAGTTGATATGAAACTAGGTGAGGGAGTGCAAATTGATGACAAAACGGATGCGGTTGTAAAATGTGCCTTGAAACAGAGAGTAGAAGCCACTCGTAACTTGTTGTTTCCAAACAAGTGGAGATCTCTTGAAAAAAGAACGAAAAGAACTTCGAGTACAATAAAAGGGCACAGAGATGAAGGACAGGGGTAGGAAAGGGGGCGGAAAAAGAGACACAAAAGCATGTGCTCCGGCTGCTGGTCTGGTAGTTGATTTAAGACACTTGTGTGGGATGGGATTTGCCGCTTGACTGCCCTTGAGTGCCGAACTTGGACTCGTTTTGCATGCTGCGGCGCTGACCTTGTCCTCGACCTCCCCGATAAGAGCCACGACCCCTGCCGTATTGATATTGCCCACCATTCATATGATGGTTGTGACGACGTTCACCATTGTTCAGATTAACGGCTGTGTTGGTGATCGGAGGTTGTGAGGGGTTAGCGATAGGGCGCGGAATAGTGTCCGGCGAGTCATACACATAGAGTTTCTTGTCGATATTCTGAGGAATTGGTTGAATTTCAGTTCCAAGCTCTTGCTCAATTTTGTACAAGTTGAACCGATCTTCCCAATTTATAAGATTGATAGCAAGACCGAGATGTCCAAAGCGGCCAGATCGGCCAATTCGGTGGAGGTAAGTTTCGGCGTTCTTGGGGAAATCGAAATTTATGACAACATTGACGGCTTGAATGTCAATACCTCGAGTTAACAGATCGGAGCAAACAAGGTTACGGCAGACGCCGTTGCGGAAATCGTGAAAAACTCTGTTGCGATGTTGCTGAAGCATCCTTGCATGCGAATAAAAGCAGGAATATCCTAGTTCCGTTATCTTCTTCGCAAGTAATTCAACACGGTTGGTAGAGTTGCAGAATATTATCGACTGGTTGATTTGTAGCTTCGAAAAGAGTGTGTTCAGACAGTGGACCTTCTGCTTCTCCTCCACGAAAGCATAATACTGCGTAATTCCGCGAAGGGTGAGCTCGTCCATGAGATTAATTTCATAAGGGTTGCGCATGTGTTTGTCCTAAAATTTATCAGTACATCCACGGGAGATGATCAGGGCTTTTTGTATTACATACTTTAAATGATTTGACAATCAATGGAAAAGTAGCACTGAAGAGCATGACTTGGCGGTCTTTAGGATGAAACGATAGCAGTTGCTCGATAACTGGCGTAAACTCGGGGGATAACAATTTGTCGGCTTCATCCATGACGAATGTAGGACACTCAGAGAGATCAGCGACGCCTTTGCTAGCCAGATCCAGGACTCTTCCTGGGGTTCCAACAAGGATGTGGACTGCGTCGTTTAATCTAATAATGTCATCCATCAAGCCAGTACCTCCTGTAGTGACCATGACATTGATGCCCAGATGTTTTCCCAAGGTTTTGCAAACATGCGATGTTTGAAGCGCCAGTTCCCTCGTAGGAACAAGAATAAGGGCCTGTGTTTTGGTGCTCTTGGGGTTTATGCGCTCCAAAGTAGGGATAACAAAAGCTGCTGTTTTCCCTGTACCATTCTTGGCACGCGCCAAAATGTCTCTGCCTGTGAGGGCGACTGGTATCGTCTCTTCCTGGATTGGAGAGGGCTTTTCAAAACCAGCCTCGAATATACCCATCATCAGTTCACGTTTGATGTAGAAGTCTTCGAATTCCAAGCCTTTCGTAGCGGTCACATCCTATACTGTGTCAGATTGCGACCGACAAATACCGATCGCTATGAAGATAGACAAACCTCGGTTTGCGGTCTTGCATCTTTGGCAGGGACATTTAATTGCTCCTTCCACTTTGCATCCGAGCTTGCATCCCTTCGAAAGGTTTAAAGTTAGCTTGAATATATGGAACAATCAGCATATGACAGTGAATGTACCCTAAAGCAGTGTTATTCAGCTGAGAGGCCAAGGCGTCGGTCATGGTGGTATATTATAAAAAGAGGTAAGATTGGGGATCAGGCTGAGTAGGCTGATTGTTCTCTCTCCGATTAAGCTGTGGCCGGAGACTAGATAGCGAGGATGGGTAGACACAGAGCCAATGTTATTCGAAGTCTGCAAGCAGATTAGACAGAGTAATCGTGGGATTTTGACGTGAAATCAGTACTGTAAACTGGAAGGATGGTCGACAAAGCCCAAAGGTTGGGGTAAACAACACAGGGTGGTAGATGACTTGGCTGCGAAGCTTATCCGGCCGTTTGTTAGGACAAGATCGCTCGGAGTCGGATAGATGAGTTAAGTATGGATGAGAAGGAGCAATGGAAGTATGTAAGGAGTCTCTGGTGATTGAGTCGTCAAAACTGAAAACTTGACGGCGACTTGAGGTGAAGTGCTTGAGTGTGTGGGCGGTTTGGTTGGAAGTCAAACTCGGGATGATTGAACTGGGTGCCCTCCGATGTAGGCTACGATACAAGCAATGAGGACGTATGAGCGGCCAGTCTTCAATTTCAGGTATTGGGGGATGTTGAAAACTCTTGATTGATAAAGTTTGGTCACACTGAGAGGAAGGCGAATGGCTTATCGTCGAAGTGTGATGTGGGAAATGATGGAAAACTTCAATGTGGTGGTGGGAGTGGTGAATAATACGGATCATACACTTTAATACGGGGCAGCAGCTTCCGCAGCACGGTCATGTGGTAGCCTTACTTAGTACTGAGAGCACCTACTCCGTAACCCGTACACCGTATATACTCTCACAACCTAGTACTCCGTACTCTTCCTAGTTCCTAGGTGCTCCGTGGGTTGTTGGGGCAGGGCGCCCTTACCGCCTAGCTGGGCCCCATCTATCTAGTGGGTCGGCTCACCTCCGGCCTCCAAATACCTAATCTCAGTTCAATGGGCTGAGCGATATTCGTGACCAGACTTTTAATAGTGAGACTGTGCATCTTCTTTAACTGATTGAACTGTTTTCCAAGTGACGGAGGAGCCTACGTCATCTCTACATCCTATAGTCTCAAATATAAGAATGGCAAGAGGGCTAGAATAAGACTAACAATCACCCATTTTGCCAAGGGTGAAAGGACTTGTATCGAAGTGCCAGACAAATTCTAGAAAATAGAAGCATTCATAGTATATCGTTGATACAGTGGCAGGAAAACAGATAGGGATGAAGCAGTGAAGTCAAAAAGCTGAATAAAACAACCACGGGCGAATAGAAGATCAAATCGTAGCAACCACAAAAATTTACTGTGGAAACGACAGTCTTGTCTGGCCCCTCTCTGGTTCTGCTAACCTAGAATGAACATGTAAGTTGCAGTCCATGCAGTTTATGTAGTTTGATGCATATACGTACTCCTTTACACAGACGTCAGGCGCCAGCGTGATCTCTGCCCTTGATCCGGGTGTAATGAGTATGAATTGCCGTCCTATTGACCGTCTGGCAGCGAGCATCTATTGCTTCATCAGCAGACCTCCAGCAATATGTCTGTCCAACATACAAGCATATCAATGGCCATTTTCCTATTGATGTGGTCCATATACACATCACTTTTAAGTTAGTGTTGGCTGGGTAGAATATTGGAGGCACTCGGAGACTTACAATTCATCCAAGCAGCGAATTGGGGATCCCATAGCCTCCCAGAGTGCCAATAACAGGCATACCTGAGAGAATGACTTCTCACCTCCGGAGAGTGTCTTTGCGCCACGACCAGCGCTGTCTTTCGTGATATCGGGTTCCACCTACAGAGTGTGCTGTCAGAAAACCTCAGCAAGAATGACGGCCAACAACACACATACTTGTAGATCCAAAAGCTTGCCCTCATGGTCAGTTAGAAGTCGGCCGCGGAAGCTTCTTTCACTCAAAAGGTAGGTAAATTGTGCTTTGGCACGGGATGAAATGTGCGACCTAAAAATCACCCAGCGGCCTTTACGGAGTTTTAGTGTTGCCTTGAGCACCTAGTTCATAACATTAGCAAGGGAATTTTTTGCCAAAGAAAGGGGAGAGTTTGCTTGTACTTCAGCCAGTAATCTAAACTCCTCAACTTGCTTCAAAGCCCGGTCGTAGGCTTCCCTGGCCCTCGCAACCTCAGCAAGGAGTTCGTCACGAGATGCTCCCAACCTAGGCTTTCATCAGCGAGACGTTCTTGTTGACCGATCGGTTATGGTGCTCACTGTTGGTCATAGCGCTTTATGTCGTTATGGAGTCTTTCAAGCTTTTTATCCAAACTGGTCGCAGTTTCACCTTCATCGATTGCAACCCGCGGAGAGACCAAACTCGCTTTTTCGCTGAAGTCAAGGATACGTGCCACGACCTCCCCTCGTTTAGTATGGATCCTATCCCTGTCTCGCCTGATGTCGTCGATTCTTTCAACTGCTGTATTTTTATCACCTATTCTCTTTCGACGCCTGTCATTAGCCATACGCTCCTCATTCTCGGCGACCCTAAGCTCTTCTTGTATGACGGTGATCTCGGCCTCTTTGGCCGAGAGCTCTTGCTTGATCGTTCTCAATGTCTTCATCATAGCATCCATAGCATCTGCGCCGTCCTTCAAGGACCCTTCATTGAGGCGCTTCTCCTCTTCAGCCTCTTGGAGATTAGTCCGAAGCCCATCAAGACGTCCGTCTTCGGGGAGTTCTCTATCAAGAGCATCGGCAAGCTCTTCAACACGGTCTTCCAGTCTCTGCGCCGTGATTCGTAGTTCGTTTGATCTTCGCTCATGTCTGACACGGGCTTGCTTGCAGCTTTCCAGCCGAGACCGAGCAGACTGGAGCTCTTGTTCTTGACGACTGAGGTTGCTCTTAAGGTCCGCCACTACACCCTGTTGCACTCTGCAAAGAATATTTTAGCGCTAGTTGTATAGTATGAAGACACAGCAATGTTGATTACCTAATTTGGGATTCTAGATCGGACCTCATTCGGGGTGACCTATTGTAGGCTGGGACTGGTGCTTGGCTTGGTTCGCCTGTCCGGCTAAAGGAAAGATGAATACCTCTGCGTCTGTTTGTTTGATCAATACAATAACACCGTGCCACATTTCGAGGTTTCTGTCCATCAAAGAGGACCGAAGATGCTTCTTCAAGATTTTCAATGAGTAGCATCTGTTCTATTTTATGGTTGATGATCAACTGTGAGCGGGCCACGTCGTTGTCGAACTAGAAACCCATTAGATGACCTTACCGCTGGTTAGAACCCTAGAATAAAACACTGACCTCAAGGACCCGCAAGGCTGTGTTATAATGGAGATCCGGTTCGTTCGATGATGTATCGATGCGTTCGCCGTCCGCTATCAAGACAGGACACGTACTTCCAGCATTGTTAGGAATGTTCAGGTATGGTGCAGACCTGGATATGCTTACTAGCCGATATTTCTCATAATCTTGCCAATTTTCATCGAGTCTTCAGGAGTAAGTACAACGAAGCTGTTCAACGTCGAGCCAAGCGAGTTCTCGAGGATCGAAGACCATTCCGGCCTAAGCAGGCGCACATAGTGACCAAGAGGACCAATTGGGCGTCTAGTAAAGGACCTGTCTTGTTCGATTGCTTTCAGGAGAGCCGGCATTTTCTCGTGGAAACCCGAGTTTTGAGGACCTCCTTCCCTTTTTAGGGTCAACAAGAGCGATTCAGCCTCCTCAACATCGGCTTTGAGTTTAGTGAGTGGTACCGCGGCTGACTTGACTTCCTTTTCAGCTTCATTTATCTCTTGGATCAGACGGTTAGTATCGCTTCCGTGCTCCTCACATTGAGTACGGACTTGGGAAACTTCTGCTTTTGCTCGCTCGAGTTCCTCTTGCTTTTTCGTATAGCTCCCTCCGCTAATTTCAGCTAATCGTCGATTCTCTTCATCAATGCTTTGCTGAGTTGTAACAATTCTCGTTTCTGCTGCTTTGAGGTATTCTCTGATCCGTCGTTGTTCGGCCTGTGAATTAAAATTAGTGAATCTCACATATGAACATGAGGCAATTACTGATCATACCTGCAGTTCATGGCGCTCTGTCATCTGCGCATCCCATTTCATCTGAATTTCATTTTTTTCACCATGAACCTGGTCCTGCTTGGCCGTAGCTTGGCGAACATCTTCAGCAGCGGCTTCAGCCTCGCCTTCAGCCTCTCGTATAGCAACATCAAAATTGCTCAAATTAGCTTCCGCGACGGCTATCTCGCTATCCGCCTTAAGAAGTTCTTCGTCCAGGGAATCCCTCATCTACTCGCAGTCAGATATGGAGTTTGAGCATTGAACCGAAAGGCGGTTTACCCTTTCTTGCTCCTCGACCTGAGCCCAAGCCATTTGACTCCGAACATTCCTGATTCGGTTTCGCAGAGAATCATGTTGGTCGGATATGTCAAGTTTTCGCTTCGCTGCTTCCTTGCGACTTTGCAGGATCGCAATGTCTTGTTCCCGGTTTCTTAACTTCTCTTCGATTTGGTCACCAGATTCCTCAATTAGTCGATAATCTTGATCGAGTTGCTCAAGTTGGACACCCTTCACAAAAAACTTATACTTCTCACTAGGGCTTGATGTGCTAAGAAACTGGCGAGCCATATCCTGAGAGAGAACGTTCATCGGATTGTCAAATTGCAAGGTGAAGTAGTCAATGATGGCGTCGAGCTCTGCCTTCTTGGTAGACATGATTCGTCCATTTTCTGATTTGATTTTGAACCCACTTGTGCCATTTTTGGAAAAATGGCGCTCTATAGTAATAAACTTCCCATAGTCATCCGGCATGTAAGCGCCATCTCCTTGGTTCTTGATTCGCACGACGATGGTGGCGTTCCTTGACAGCAATTTCAGAATTTTGCTTTAACCAAAGGGTATTGGTATCACCTACTCCTTGCCTTCTTTGATAAAACTTTTCAAACTCTGGCCTCGATTAGTGGCAGATGCTTTACCGCCTAAGCAAAGAGTTATAGCCGTGAGAACTGCACTCTTGCCACTGCCGTTTTTACCCACGATAAAGTTAATCAAAGGTCCTAGATCGACGTAAAAATGGTCATGGCACATGAAATTGTAACATTCAACGCGCTGCAATATGCCATGCTCGGCAGGTATATTTGGTTCATCGGTAGTGAACAAATATTTCTCCTGGATGACCTGCGTAGCCCGTAATTCAAGCTCATCCTCGTCATCATCGAGAGCCTGTGTAAGCGAGCGCACTCTTCTTTCTTCCTTTCCGTCATTGCTCGCTTCCGTGCTCCCCTCTGAAACAAGGGAATGAGTTCTACGAAGACGTTTTGGCTATGATATCCAGGTTAGTAACCGCTGCATATGGGACAAAGTTGTCACATACGAATGGTGAAGAGCTGGGGTTACTCTCCTCGCTCGAGTCCACAGGCTCCAGATGCGCCTGCGAACGTTTCATTGACGGCATCGGGGAAAGGCGATTGAGGGACTCAAATCGCAAATAGCCATAGCATTTATTTTAAGCAGGACTGGGCAGGTGAGAAGGTGCTGAAGATAAGGAAAATAGAGATAAAGAAACAGCAAATCCCTCTTCTTACCACTGGTTGGATGTTAGGCCATCGAGTCTGAAAGGATAGTACATGCATCTTTGTTCCGTGTTTAACGGCTTATCGGCCATTGATAAGTCGCGTGATCGCGTGTCACCCCTACACGTGACGGACGCGGAATACTGGCAAATAGTCTAAAATTGACCCTGTTCGGCACTAAGCATTCCGCACAGGCAGCCCGACGCTCCATACATCATGTACATAGTGCATGTTTCTCCCCAAATGCGCGCCAAAACAGGTTTTGCGGGGTACGAAAGTTGTCTATCTCGTGTATTTGAATACTGTTTGGATTTCAAGCCTGATCGATCCTTTTTGATATGGTATGGATATCTCGACCGTCTGCGATGCTCCATGGCCGACTGCCATTTTCTTTTACTTGAGAACCATTTTAAGATGTAAATCATTCTGCGCTCCGAGACAATGCAAATAGTTTGGTTGCTTGAAGAGAGCACTTGGGTTTTTGGATCTTTCCTGATCTCCCAAGTGCCCCCGAAATCTGTCCAGAAAAGGGGGAGAGATCCTTTCACACAGTAATGCCTTGCCGCGATTGAGATGGGAAGTAGCTAAAGTAGAGTCAACCTATGGGTAAAGCCTATGGGGTGTTGTTGGGCTAAGCGCTCAAATGTCCATAGGCTCTTCTGCAACGTAGTGTAAATACGCTCCCAGCAGCTTGATTCCTTCAATGTAGTTCCTCTTATCAAGCTTCTCGTTAATTGAATGAGCAGCATCAGTTGAGCTTCCCATTGGCAGAAGCAAGACATTCTTCCCTGTTGCTTGTTCGAAGCTCAGTGTGACGGGGATGCTTTGCATATGTCAGTTTTCCCATCATATGTAGCATGATAGCCATAGGAATTTAAGAACATACCTGCCGCCTTCACGGGTCATATCTGGTTCAACGCCAAAGACTTGTTTCACTGCTTTGCTTGCAGCTGCGAAGTTCCAATGCTTTGGGCTGGCAACCCACCATTTCCCATCATGTTGAAGCCACACATCCAACTTGTTCTTGCTGTTCAGTTTGGCGAATTCCCCTTTGATGTAATCAAAAACAAGTTTGTTTACATCCTCACTCTCCATATTAGGGACAGTTCTGATCGAAAACTTGCCAATGACCTTTGCCGGAATTACAGTTTTAGCGCCAGGAGCAGAATATGCGCCTTCAATGCCGTGGATAGATAGAGATGGGTATCTCCATCTTGCCATGAGAGTTCTTTCTTTGGTGGCATGGATGCCAGTCTCACTGCCCAATGATTCGTGGAGGTTGTCCATGGTGTAGCTGATACCTCCATACAGGGACTTCTCTTCTTCTGTGAGGGGCTCAACAAGATCCATGATTCCAGGGATCAGGATATTACCCCGAGGATCAACAAGTTTAGAAAGGACGTTGACCAGATCAGTCATCGGCTCGTGTGCAGAGCCACCGAAGACCCCGCTGTGCAAGTCCTGCGCGGGGCCCGAGACGCTAACAGAGTAATAGTTGCAGCCTCGAAGCCCGTAAGTCAAACAGGGTTTCTCAGTTCCAAGCCAATAGTTATCCGAAATGCAGACTGCATCCGCATCCTTGAAGAATTTCTTGCTCTCGGATTGGATGAACTCTTCCAGGCCTTCCGAGCCATACTCCTCCATTCCCTCGAAGCAGCAGAGCAAATTGACAGGAAACTCAACGCCAGCTTTCTTATGGGCTTCGATCACATTCAGCCAGCCTAGAACTGGGCCTTTATCATCCGTGCTTCCGCGTCCGTACATTCTTCCTTGGCTATCGACCGTCAATTGGAAAGGCTCTGTCGCCCAGCCATCTTCTTTTAAGGCAGGTTGTACGTCATAGTGTCCGTAGACCAGAATAGTTCGCTTGTTTTTGTCATTACCATAACGAGCAATCACAACGGGAGGAAGATCAAGGTGCTCCTTTCCAGGTTGTTTGCCCAACGGTCTCTGTTCCACTTCAGCGCCCAAGGATTCAAGCTCAGACGCGAGAAAATGGGCCATCTTGTAGAATAGATCGATAAATTAGTTAAGTGCCACTTCGTTGGATATGGATTTGCATCATATACCTTGAAGACATCCTTTCTATTCTCATCCTGCGCGGAGATAGACGGGATAGCGACAGCTTTACGCAGACCTTTGGCATATTTAATTATCTCTTCCAAATGGAAAGAAATTGGGAAAGCATAACATACGGTCAATGAAAGAACCAGACAGATCGTCGACCCTACGCAGAAAACCACCCGAATACTGTCAGTCAGCCAATAATGATAGACTGTTCAGATATGCAACTTTGATATTGTGAAAGCAACAGTAGAGAGAACAAAACAGAGTGTGCAAGAGGTGAGGCCATGGCTTACTGCTTGAAAAAGGGTTCAAGTTGCGGTGCCATTGTCAGATCACTGATGTTTCCGTAGAGTGAGCGGCGTGAAGATAGGTAACGTGTTTGGTGAAGGGAGACAGTTCGATGTGCCCGGGTATTCTTGAGGTGCAAGGGAGATGGCAGATATAATCTACACTCCCTACTACTAAGCGACGTTGCAATGCGACGGAGGGGGAGGGGGAAGAGGGGCATTTGTGCTGTGGAAGATAATCGAAGTAACCTAATTTGCCTGTTGGGTTTAAGACAGGTTTACCTAACAGTATTCTCGCTATCGTTCGGTTGTCCGAGGTACCTGCCCCGAGGGCCGTTACGGGGCGCAAATAAGCGCCCATAGCCTTGAAGGACCACCCACCCCTTGCTACTTCCCTGATAAGATCCATATGAGGTTAGGTGCTAATAAATCCACTGCACATTTAAAAATACAATACATTTCCAGTACTAATGACGCTAGAATACATGATTTTATAAAAAGATTGAGCTCCAGTATGAATGTCGTGGAAGTTATGGAGTTTGGTAAGCCCAAGCTACAATGCAAAACAAAGCGAGAAATAGATAGTGTGCTTGATGTAATGGCCAACGGGGAATGAAAGCTAGTTAGGGCTTTACTGATCCCTTCCCCAGGTCTCCTTTCGCAACTGTCGGTCTTCTCTAGCCATCCGACGTTTTGAGCCCCATCTCGATTGCACTGCTTCCAGGACTCGCTTTTGAATTTCTTTCTTCTGAGAACTAGCCTCACACACCAGTGCAATGAACGTGGCGGAACAATCGAAGCGCTTGGCCAACTTCGACCGACTCCACGTCATGGGATCGGTAGCTCTAAGCCGGCGAATCTCTCGTATGTCCGACGGATTTAGGTGATATTTCTTGTCAGTCGACGCCCTGACTGCGGGAGGAAGCGACTGAGCGTTATTGTCAATGACCGACGTAGTGCGTAGGTTTCTCCGGATATCATCGGAAGGTAAAAATTTCGTCGGCGTGTGGTACACTGAAGGTGCGCTGGAAGGTGGATTGTAGATGATGTGGTCCTCTTGAGGGTGGCTCAAAGAAGAGCCAAATGAAGCATCAGGTTTAACACGGAGACGCTGCTTTGTGCGCCGGTATGAAGACTGGTTCCGTTGCAAGCCTAGAGCAACGCACTCAAAAGGAGAGGACAGAAGGAACGGAAGGGTCAGAAGAGGCCTCCTGGGAGCTGTCAGGCGATTCGCCATCACAACCAGAGTCCAATCCACTGGTGTCCTGTGACGATAACAGATGACCTATACAGCTGGAGAAGGAACTGATTGTGCCAGATGCGACCTAGTGCAAGGAAAGGCAGTAGTAAGTAACTATATTTATAAGTAGGAGATTTAGGGAGGAACGCATACAACAAAATGCCGGATGGAGGTTTGTCGGGGAGGTACCAAATGAATTTGGCGTCGACTTTTTCCGAGCTCCTAGTCTCGTGACCCTGTGACCGTAATAGCCTAACAACTAGTCTAACTATTTGCATATACGAGTGTTTTGATACAATACATAGTCCATACAGTCTCTGACCTTCACCTTAAACTTCTTGAATAGTAATTGCTAGGAATTTGCTACTCTATCTCGATTAATGTGAAGTGGCAACTTTTGTATTCAGCTCCTGATCCGCATCCAAAGTGTGGTTAAGAATAATAGCTAGGAAATCGATACACAGTAATCGCTCGTACCTTCCCTGGATTCTGCAAATATTAGTAATCATAGGTCACTAGTTAGTACTACTAGCGGATTGCAGCGGGTTGCAGCTCGTTGTGGGCTGAAAAAATGTTGAGCGTGGTCTTAAGTCCTGCCACTTGTCTGACCGCCTGTTTTAGAGCTCTCAGTGTTCAACATTCTTAGTATTTTAGACTATAATGAGCTTTATATCAGGACTTTTGGAGTATCTTAAAGATTAAAAGTAATTAGAGTATATATATTAAAGACTCTTATCAACAATTCTTTTTTTTCTAAATTTCATACTGAGTATCCTGTATCATAGACTTTATGTAACATCATTATAGTTAAGGTGGAAAAGGATTGTTCCGTGTTTATAGTCATGGATACTATCTAGATATTCCGTATTCTTATGCCACGACTATCTATGTCTTCGACTGGTGATATTCAGCCTACATAAACAAAATACATGACCTACATGGTGGCTCGGTCTGAAATCTAAACAATGGAATATATATAACGAATATGTTAGTCTTGGACTTTCAAGCTTATAAGTCAATCATTCATGGACATGATTTATGGGCACGTGTCGCCCTTCCTCCCAACCCCTCTCAAAGGTAAATAATCCCAGGCCTCTAAATAACATACAACTTCCACATGTTGAATGATTGAGTGTTCGGGTGTTTATATCATGCCTTCACTCTAGCAACAGCATCCAACGCCTGCTGAAACCGATTGTTAAGATCCGATGCATCTTCCAAGCCAACACTTATCCTCACCAGGCCCAATTCGACACTGAATGAACTTGCCTAAACGAGTAGTTTCAAATTAAACTGAGCTCCCGCACTATTGTGTAGAGGTTGGAGGTGAGTGGGGTGTTCACGTACCCATTCTAATTGACTATAATGTGCCAATAAAGTGTAGGGGCAGCTAGTCATACCGGAGTTAACAACAGTCTTACCGCCCACCTATCAGGGATATGAAAATGACTTACCTCAGTGTAAAATTAGGCAATTGCTATTTGGACTGCACGTAAACTAAATGGACTGCACAAAGTGCCTGTATTGGACTAGCGCCGGCCCTACCCGCCCATGCTAGATGATAAATAGTAATTATAGTTATATAATATCCTCTTTTTTTATGGCCTCACTTAACAGGGCCTTTGGTAGTTATATAGTAGTGTTACAGACCCCTGCTAGCCAGGTTACTAGCGGAGCGGACTCGTTAGACAGAAAGCGACGACAAGGCAAGTCTCGGACAAGCAGTAACTCTTATCGAGTAAAATCCTGGTCTGAGTAATGTCTGGAGCAGCATTGTGTTACATGATTATCTACCATCAGTTCTACTATTAAAGATATATATAAGATATACTGAAATCCAGGATCATGATTAGATTAATCCTTAATCTATCTTAGATAGTATATAATATGGTATACAGAGGATAGGATATAAAGATACTCTTTTATATACTTAGCTAGTTCTGTTCTTCATGCTTAATACAATCATCTTTAAGTAATTATATGTTTAGAAACTTAATAATAATACTTATCTATACTTACTTATAGATAGCTGCGCGGCACTATCTGACCTTACTTCTCTTCTCTTATTCAGGACCAGTCATCTTTAAATAATCATCAGTCTGACACTACCTCAATTCAGTTCAAAGATACATACACCAGTGAAGCTAAGCTAACAGGAACAGGAAGAAATAATCTTAGGATTTGATATATTAAGCACCAGTCAGTACAAGTATTACTAGTGATAATTGTTTATTATATTAACTACTTCGAACTCATCGCGCGTCTTACAGCAGCAGGGCCTGACAACACAAGAACTGATAAATATGGTTAGTTATAAGAAAGCATCACTATCTTAGAATAACAGAACCAGTTACTTAAAGATTGCTTAACAGTTAAATCTGTTAAGGTCCAACCACCGGAACCATTTAACAGCAATTGAGCAAAGCTCAGGACTTTCTTGACCCAGTTAGACTTATATCTTAGCATGAACAAAAAGAAGCTCAGAAACAAGGTTAATAAAATTCTTTTTATATCTATCTATCTGACTGAAATAATATTTAATTAATTTAAACCATATATCTACAAGTATCAAGAAAAGTCAGTAAATAACCAGGATAATAATATAAAGCAAATCTTCACCAGCTATACCAGATTCAAGTAGTATCTTAAATAGATATTTAGAAATATTAATATAGTATATAATATTAAGTAAAAGTTATAATAACTCAGATAAACTAGATTAATATCTAAATATACTTCCAAGATTTTGCAAGTTACTAGTCACCTGGACTAGGATAACAACGCCTATATTATATAATTTAAAAAAGAACTTAAGATAGAGATCCAAGAAAAACTCATCTAGTAAGAACAATCAAGCACATTATTATAAATAATCAAAGCAGTAGTTAAAATCAATGATAAGTTATATAAATATAATATAAAATAAAGAGAGGGCTGATAGACTAGCGGGTCTATATCTTAATAAAATAACTAACCAGATTATAGAGCCAATAACAGAAGATCAGTATAATCTAAGAGTTTAGGATACAAAGATCTTTACAGACTGAAACTAATGGAGCTAGATATAGCACAGTATCAGACTTAATAAAATAGAATATCTAAGAAGGAACTCAAACAGCATAAAAAGGACCGTTTATACTTTAGCTATAACAAAGTAAGTCACCAGTTAAAAAACTATAGTCAGAAACAGTAACAGCCTTAGAAATAGTTAAAAACTATATATAAAGATCAAGACAGAGAAGCTTATAATATTATCATTATTCAGTAGTAATTACTGCTTTTTAGAGTATACTTTATTACTAATAAAAAACTAACTGTAAAGATAATATATATAAAAATAATATTATTATTAATCTTATTACTTGTTCTGCTGTTACTACTGCTATTATTCTTACTAATATTTTCTTTAATATTTTAAAGATTATTTCTTCTTCTTTTTTATATACTTTGATACTGCTATTACTTTTTTTTATAAGTTTAAGTATGTTATTATTTTAAATAGAGTTATTAATTATTACAGTTATTTCTAGAAACTCTTTCTGCATTGTTTTATTGATTAATAAAAGTTTTCAAAAGTGTTTTCTTTTTTTATAGTTAATAAATAATAATATATCCCCATCTATACAGTTTTAAGCCAAGGTTTATAGTTATAATTTTTATTAAAATTGATTTAAATCTTCTTTACCTGTGAAGTTATATATCAGTTTAATTTGTACTGTTTTTCTAGTTATTTTATTTTACTTGCAAAGTCTTTATATTTTTAATGTACATGAAGAGCTTCCCAGTATTATTATTTAAAAAGTATTTAAGGTATTTAATTAGATATTTAATTTATATATTCTTAGTCTTTGTTTACATGATAATTATATTAACCTGCTATTTTTATTTTCTCTTAATCAAAATTAATGATAGATAATATTAGATTCTTAGTTTAGTTTTATAAGATTCTAGCAGTGAAATATAAATTACTAGATATAGATTCTTATATTTTAGTAGTAATTATAATTTGTATAACTATAAGCCCTAGATATTAATAATTATAAAAGAACTAAGTTAATAATAATCTAACTTTATATTAGACTAGATTATTATAATATTCTTTGCATGTATTATGATTTCTTAATTAATTTGATAAATTTATTTTATATAACATAATAAATATTATATAATCATAATATGTTTTACCTTTCTTAAAAAAATTTAAAATAATTTTCTTATTTTAGTAAGTTATCCTGCTTATTTTTTTCTATTAAGATTTCTTAATCTAGTTTTTTAATATCTATATCCACACGCAATTAAGACAGGAATCTTATAAGAATGTCATATAAGATTATCTATATTATACTATATTTTTTTTTATTATATAATATTTAAACTATAAATAATTATTTAATCTAATTATCTTACAGGAAGTTGGTATAGGCTTATAAATAATATTCTAGTATTCAATTTTATTATTCTTTTTATCTGTTTGTTTATAAATAGTAAGCTATAGATATCTTTCTGTATATTTCTATATAATAATATAGAGTAATCTAGTAGTTATTTATAAAGATAGTTTCTTTATTTATTATTAATCTATATATATTTTTAATATACAGTATAACATACTTGTAAATTAGTTTTACAAGTTTTAATATATTAATATTTTTTATAAGATAGATAGAAGATATACTTTATAAATATATTTATTATTACTAGAATTATATTATATACATTTTTTTCTATTAGCTAGATAGTAGATTTATAATAAAGTCTATAATAAGTACTTTATCTAGCATGTTTAGTATGGGTAGTAGTTTTAACTTACTATAAGATATATATTGATAAATCTAGATTTTCTAATATAGATTATAGATTTTTACATACTCTTTTATCTCAATGTATATATTATACTATCAATACTTGTACTGAATATTTTTTAAAGTATATTATTTTTAACAGTAGTTACTTTTTAGCATATTATAGTTTATCTGTAAAATCTCTTATTTTATTATTATATTTTTTAGTATAACTATATACTTATTTTACTTGAAAAGATCTTATTTATCTAATTCTTAGATTAGATTATTTAATCTCTATTTTTTCTTATAAATCTTGGCTTTTTAATCTTGTAATCACGCGTTTATATTCTATATCTTTTTAATTAAGTTTATTATTGATTTTTATAGATTAAAATAGACTATTTCATATTTAATTACTACATGCATATAGATCTATAATATTAAAAGATTTAAAACTTTTATATTATGAGTAATATTTTTTTTATCTGTAAGTATATTTTAATATTTACAGGACTCTTTCTCTATAAGCTTACTCTTATTTTTTTATATTTCTATTTTTATATATACTGTTATCTTAGCTATATTTAGCTAGAGTTTATTTAA